ATATATATATATATATATATATATGGATAGCTAGATAAAATATGCATAATGGTATTTGATTGTGTTCCCGTTGCTGTATGTAGTACATATTCATATATTTATATTTATACTTAACAATGCAGATAATGTTCATGCTGCGTATTGCAGAGCAGTAACATACATATATCCACCTCATACATATGTATATATATATATATATATATATATATATATATTCATATATATACATATATATATAAAGCAATGTATTTGTATATTGATGTGTGCATGTGTACGCACATTTATATACACATATACGCATGTATTAATACATGTGCGTATTCCTTTGTCTCTTGCTGAGGAATCAGCGGATTAATGAGAGATGTGTTCTGCCTCAACAAGAGACATAGGAATACTTATTGAAATAGTGCGGAGAGACTTAAGGGCCTCTGATTGTGCTGCATTGTGTCTCTTCTGGAGTGCTTGTCTGCCGTTTGCTGCTGCCATTCCTGTTCGCTGCTGTCCCTTCTATCTGACAGCAGTGTCTGTTACTCGGCTGGGTCCGACCGTTGTTGCGGTGCACAGACCCGTCTGCTGTATCCGCATGCGACCCTACGCCATAAACCCTAAAATAGAAAGACGTGTTACAGGCAAGGCTGGTGGGCACTGAAGCCCCCAAGAGTATAGGTTTGAGGGTTTAGGGTTTTCCTAACCCAGGAGACCCCTTTTAACGGAAGGAGGCCAGGGAGTTCAAGCTGAAGAATGGCAGCAGCCAAGGAGCGATACAAAGAGATGATGCACAGAGCAGTGATTGCTCTTATCTTCTCTAGGTCGGTTACTTCTATTGGCGTTTACGCCTGTGGGAAGTCTGCGGAGTTTTTCCACGACTGTTCGAGAGCTTTACTGCAGCAGCTGGGCTTGCTGCAGGAGCACGATTTGATGCACCAGCAGTATTTACTTGCTGCAGCAACAGGATTTGTCGTAGCAGCAGGTCTACTGTGCGCGTTTATGCATGCATATTTGCATGTATGTAGTAGATGCGTTCGCGTGCTTTTTACACGGCGTCATCGTCTGTCTTCTTTGCATCCGACCTGCTTTCAATTTCTCTGTAGCTTTTGAACTCGCAGCCGTTGCCGCCTGCTCTGTATACACAAGCTGCAGACCAGAAGAGATTAGCAAAGCCCAAGATGACTATTATCGTCAACAGCTGCGTAAGGCTGGAGGTCACCATCACAGACTGAAATTCAATTGTTCCGTCAGACATCCCTTGCCCCCAGTGGACCCATTGGGTGATGAAAGTCACCAGCTGAAGACACCCGAAGCAGAAGGTAGACGCAGCAGCACCCACACACACAAGGGATCATCATGCTGCTGAGCAGGCGGACTTATTCGGTTTTCGCTGAACTGCACTAGGGCAACGTACTACCGCCAAAGCTGCGGAAAGCTGCAAGGGATCGGGCAGAAGGGGAAGGAAGACAGCATGAAAGCCTGCAAATGACTTACTTTGAAGACGCCATTGACGAGCGTGACGGAAAAAGCGCCGAATGTCAAAATGTACGCAAGGAGTCCGAGCTTGAGGAAGCCCAGCAGCACACACAAACAGATATAGCCGCCAATAGATGCATTTATGATGCCTCCAATGAATTGTGTCTCCTCGTAAGGTATTGTCTGCTTCGCTTGATAGATGTCCAACCCCCCAACCACCCCAAAGTAGGCAGCCACAGCCAATAAACCTATCGATAAGTTGAAGCAGCAGCAGCTCTTCTCTCCAGCGGGGTTCAGGCACAGTTGACACATTTTCACAGTCTCCGCAGATCCAAATGCCTCGAACCTTTTACACCCTTACAAGCCTTTATAGAGTTGAAAGAAAAAGGAAGGAAAACCACAATCGGGGTTTCCAACCGGAGCTATCGTTGGCTAGCGAGGAGCCGACAAATTCTTAGGGGAAACAATACCAGTAAAGGGGAGGACAAGGCAGTAAAACCGCTGGGAAATACTTCTACATTTGAAAGAAAATAACGGAAAAAGAATGTGGGAAGAAGAAAGCACACGCGAGCTGCTGGTCTAAGGTTTCGTGCTTCGGTTTCATCATCTCAGTTAGCAGCAATTCAATGTCAGCTTTGTGCGTGCTGAGAAGGGTACCTACCCCGAACTGTAAGCATTTTGGTTTGTTTCTTTATTCCTATTTGAATGCTTAAATAGAATCAGGAAAACTACTTAATTGATGTTCAATGCTGTTTGTTTTGTGCGACGGACCACTGCTGCCCCATTCGTTGCTTACCCGCTATCGACTGCTCCGATCCGCGAGGCTTTCTGCAGCGACGTAGAAGTACAGCGCTAAATATAAACTCCTGGGCCTTCCATGAATTTAATAGGAGCTACATTGTTTCCAACTCCTTCAGCCGAGCGTACTTGCTATGTGTGCTGTTTTGTGCCCCCCCAGTCAACGCCATCTCCACCTGCATCACATCCCGGTGTGGCATGGCGTGTCTGAATTTTACATGTTTCTGTGTACTTGAGTGCAGGCTTTCTATTAAGAGTCAACTAACTGTTTACCATCTGCCTACAGAGGTAGTACGTGCACCAAAAGGAGCTTGAGGACGCTAGCACGTGGGGTTGCCATGCTGCAGGAATTGCGGGAAGGTGAGCTGCAACTGACGGGAGGCTACCTGCATTCCTCTCCGCACTAGCGCCAGGGCCAGGCCCGTGTGCTGCCTTTCTGAGGAATGCGGAGAATAGTGCCTCTTTGTACCTCATGTATTTGGAATCCGTTGCAGCTCACGGCGGACGTGTGCTAAGCTCTCATTACACGTAGTAGCGCCCCATGGTGAAAAGGGGCAGGCGCGGGCAGCGAACAACAACAAAACAGCTGGCTTGCCTGGTGTGTAGCAGTGGTTGGCTTGTAGGGCACTTCGTAAAAACAGGATTAGAAATCTTTGGTCTTCGTCAAATGTTCAGCCATACTCACTTCTCGAACAAAGAAGGGATATCAGAGTCTCCCCTTCGGTGGGGAGATGAATGACTGCTGGTTACCTCGTCGCATGGAATGAGAGCAGTATCCGCATCTCATCCACCTGAAAAGGCTTAAACTGCGAAAAGCATTCGTAAAAAATACTTCAGCATTCGCCCAGCGCCCAAATGTGACGAGCCTCCCGAGGAAGAGGCAGTGGAGAAATTCCTTGCTCCTAGCTTATTTTGCTTTCGTCTTTAAAACCCACCCGGCGAACTACAGTTGATACTGAGATTTTCCTCTCAAGAAGGGGGAACACGGCAGTGGGGGAGATAGAGTGTTGAAGCTTCCCCCATGCGCTGCGAAGTAGGTTTATCCCCATCTCGCCGAGAAAGGAGGCAATGGCAGAATCAAAACAGGACTCGCAAAGTTCCGATGGAACATTACATGAAGAAGCAGGAATTTCTCCAGGGTTGACTGGGCTGCGAGTGCTTCTGTATCAAAGGAAAAACGTCATTTCAAACGTCTCTGGAAACGCACACTTATTCAGCGCAGCAATATGGAGGCTCTACATGCTAGCTATTAAACGAAAAACTGCGTTGCAATCACGAAAGACCACAGGTGGCCGCTGTCTGTGCAGACAACTTTCCACACACCTGCTCGTATAGCATGCGCACAGCGCGATTTAAATAGACACACACATACTCATACTGCGTCGAATGCACCGGATCCCATCTGAACTCCGAAGTTAAGCGGCGCAAGGCCCGGTTAATACTGCGGTGGGGGACTCCGGGGGAGTCCCTTTGGGTGATGACGGCCTCTTTTCTT